GGGTGGCTGGGTGACGGACGTTGGGGAGGGTATGTGCTATGGTGAGCACTGTGAATTGTGCAAGACTGTTGAATCACAGATCTGTACTTCTGAAACAAATAACGCAACATATTTTAAGAAAAAAGAAAAAGAAGAAGATAGCAGGAGAGGAAGAATGAAGGGGAGTAAGTCAGAGGGGGAGACGAACCAGGAGAGATGATGGACTCTGAAAAACAAACTGAGGTTTCTGGAGGGGAGGAGGGTGGGGGGATGGGTTAGCCTGGTGATGGGTATTGAGGAGGGCACGTTCTGCATGGAGCACTGGGTGTTATGAACAAACAATGAATCATGGAACAGTACACCAAAACAAATTATGTAATATATGGTGATTAACATAACAATAAAAAATTTAAAAAAAAACCCTACGTATTGTCTGAACAGCTGCATCATGGACCTTTGGCATGAGGCATGCTGGGATTTGCCTTGAGGTCTGCATCTAAGTTGCCATATGACGGCAGACAAGTTACTTTACCTCGCTGTATTTCATTGTCCTTGAAACGGGGCTAATGAGACCCCCTTTCATAGAGTCGCTGTGCATAAGCTAACAGTAAAATCTCTACCACGGCTCATGGGATAAGGTAGGTCCTTGAGAAATGCTTGCTACTGGTGTAATTCTGTTTGGTTCTCTCCAATTCCTGCCCACTTGTTTAATAACAAAATCAGTATTGTAGCCTATTTGAGGGCTTGGTGCAAGTTGATTGCACTGAACTCTGCTGCACCCCAGCCACATTTGATGCTCCCTTTCCATAAATACTTGAGTAATACTTTAACCCAAGAAGGCAAAGAAAATGCAATAGGACCCAGGAGGAGTCCGCCAAGAATCCACATGAATTGTGTACTTGAAGTGGCGCTCTTACAGTTCTGGAGCATAAATCTTCAACCTTGCAGGTCTGTTCTTTTTTGTAGGCTCCAAGCCCTTCAGCTTGACAACCACTTTAACTGGTTGCCAGGTCTCCCTAGGCGAAAGTCATCCTGTGCCCGATGAGGTTTCCTGTCTTGTGTAAATGTTCCAGAGCTTGGCACCAGTGTGTCTATTTTCAGCCTTCCTGACCCTTTCTTCATCTGCCTCCTTTGTGTCCTAGGCCCCAGGTTACATATTCACCCCAGCCTTGAGATCAAAGTGTCAGCAAAGTTATTCCTTCACACCCTTGTGTCCCCCTTCTGGTGATTCTCCAAGTAGGGCCTACTTGTAGCCCTGGGGAACCCACGGGGTGACTGTGGATGGTACACAAAAATAATCAAAAGTAATGCAAATGGATTTTTTTTTTTTATGGTGAGTTAATTTTAAGGACAATGTAACTTTGAGAACCTTTCTTAGTAGCTAACGCTGATGGAGTGTTTGCTACATTCCAGATAGAGCTTGCGGGGCTCTGCAGGCATCATGCCCCTACTTTCGGTAGAAGACCTATCTTTCACTCTACGCATGACAAAAGCGCAGCTCGGAGAGGTTCTCTAATTTACCCAGTCATTGCACTGGAGCTGCCTGAACCTCCATGCTCTTCTGCCCCACTGATACTTTCACTTTAAGCTGGAAATGAGGCTCCAAAGCAATAGAATTAGGGGCTCGGTGGTTCTGGCACTAGCCCAGGAATCTGTAGATTTACCCCGGCAGATGCTGATGCAGCTTTCTGGAGACTACCTCATAGATCCTCAAAGTTGGATGATGCCTACAACCCCGTCTGGCTGGAAAAGGTAGCAACAAATGTCATTTATTGAGCAAAACATGTGCTGGACGCTAACCTAGGCATGTCTATTGGTAATTTTATCCAATCCTCTCTCCCGGTAGTGTTATTTTCTCCATTGGAGAGCTGGGGAAACCTAGGCTGACTCTTGCACAAAGTCCTGGCCCTTACATAGCTGCGTCGGGATGCAAACCCAGATATGTTTATCTCCAGAGCCTATGCTATTAATTTCTATGATGTAATCCTTTGAAAATATGACTAATAATTCCTGTTCTTCCTACCTCTTAAGTTCATTATGAAGATCAGATACAATAATGTATGTAAAGTTGTTTGTAGTGTGTACAGTGCCATATTTAATCATTCAATCAGTATTTAGTCTGATCATGGAATTCCTCTACCTGAAACCTTCCAATGGCTTTTGTCTCACTCAGAGTTAAAGTCAAAGTCCTCACAGTGAATGACCCAGCAGCCCCATCACCTGTTAGATCTCACTTTTTACTACCCTCCTCTCACTCACTCTTTAGCAAACACTCCAGCCTCCTTGACATCCTTAAACGCACAAGGCATGTTCCTGCCTCAGGGCCTTTGCACTTGCTGTTCCCTCTGCCTAGAAGGCTTTTCCCTCACATATCCACATGGCATATCCTCTCATTGTCTTTGAGTCTTTGCTCAAACTTTCAGTAAGTCCTTCCTCAACCTCCCCAGGTAAAACTGCAACATTTCTGCACCTTCCAACCTGCTATTCTCTTTCTCTGATTTATTTTTTCTGAAAGAACTTACCACAACAGAACATACTATATATCCGATGAACTGGTTGATCTCCCTCCATTTAGACTATAAACTCCTTGAGGTAAGGGACTTCTAGTTGTCTCAACTACTTAAGAATGGTACCTAACCTAAAGTAAGTACTCAATAAATAGATGATGAATGAATCAATGAATCAATGAAGTTAGTGAGTATTCTTATGTGCCAGGTCTGGTGCCAGGTGCTGGGGATTCAAAGATAAAGCTCCTATATGCAGTAGTGGCCTTCCTATAGCTTATTAAAGGGTTCATTTTTGGTTCCCCTCTGACATTCGATTTATTTCCAGATTCTTAAATGCAAGAACACAAATTGTAAATAAATGTGACCTGAATAAATCTCTCAGCTTCAGCTTTCCCACACTGACAAAAAGCTTGAGAGTGCAGCTCCCAAAACATCTACAATGCTGGTCCTTCCCTGTCCTTACCTCAGTCATAGAACCTCCCCTTATTCCTTCCAGGAAAAGCCTCTTGGCCTTCACCCAGATCTCCTTCCCCAGGGAAGCCAGGATTCAACTGGATTTCAGCAGCGGTGGGCACTTGACATTTTCCCCGAGGATATGGCGTCTTAGTCACCCTATAAAACTTTAATTTTATTTAGCCATATTTTATAAGCTGGTACATTATCAGAGCTGTCTCTCCCTATGCCCACAAGTGCCTTTGAATGTACCCATAATGCCTCTTAATTTTACGTCACTCTTTGCATCTAGTAAAATGTGGAAATACACAAGAGAAACTAGAAAAAACAGACGCTGGATGGGTTAGCCAGGAGTGCCTGTGGAAGCCCCTTGGAGGAATAAATATGTGCTCTTTCAAGTGCAGTGCCTTTCTGGAAGGGGAAGTCATGTGATGACCTGCACTGGTAGTGCCTGGGGACTCCCAACCCACGCCCCTCCCATGCAAGACAGTGATTCTATCAGGCTGCGGGGGGAGCTCTGGAATTAACATGTTAGCTTTTCATTGAGATGGTAAAGGACAGAAAAGTAGAAATGATGTCCAGCTCGGTGAATTTTTCACGTGCTCAAGCAACCGGGAAGATGGCCTACACCGCAGAGGTGCTGGTACCCCCTTTTGTCACTGCCTCTCTCCAATAGTAGTCCTGATGTTATCCTGACTTATAACCCAGAGATAAACTTTGGCCAATTTCTGTAGTTATATAAAAGGGAACATACACTACATCCTCTTAGGTGTCCAGCTTCCTTTGTTCAACATTATATTTGTGAGACACACACACATTTTTGCATGAAGTTGCAGTGCATTCATTTTCATTGCTGTGCAGATTTTTATTGGGAATGCATGTTTTTTATTTATTCTGATACTGATGATGGATAATGGGATAGACTTGTATATGCAGCTATTATGAATTGAGCTGCTTATGTACATTCTAGTACATGTTTTTTGATGGATATAGGTATACATTTCTGCTGGGTAGTTACCTTGAAGAGAAATGATAAGGCAAATCAGCATGTTTAACAAGCAGCTCAGGCAATGCTGACTCATGCTGAAATTTAAGAGCCATATTAGGACACCTGGGTGGCTCAGTGGGTTAAGCATCTGCCTTTGGCTCAGGTCATGATCCCAGGGTCCTGGGATTGAGTCCTGCGTCGGGCTCCTTGCTCAGCGGGGAGTTTGCTTTTCCCTCTACCTGCCTCGCCCTCTGCTTGTGCGCTCTCGCTTGCTCTCTCTGACAAATAAATAAATAAATAAATAATCTTAAAAAAAAAAGAAAAGAAATTTAAGAGCTATAGGAACAGACTAAAAAGCAAGTACCATTTACCAAG